TGCTGTAAAATGGGAGGTGGGGTGGGGGGCGGTGGTGAGGTGATTTGTGCTTCAATTTTCAACATCAATTTATGGTGTCTTCTAGGGGAGCTTTGCTGGAAGAGATAGAATCATTGGTCCATAGACACCCAAGCAAGCTCTCTGTGAGTTTTCCCCTATCTTATACCTTTTCAAATTTTTATTTTGGGAAAATTGGAACTACAGAAATATGCATCTTCTCTTAATATCTCAACTTAATTCATATTTATGCAGATGGAGACATTTTCCGCTCAAAACAAAGGGTATCATGCAGAGACGACTGTAGTTACTTATTGCCGGAATAAGAAAGACTGTGATGACAGGTCAAAGCTTAAGATCCTTCTTGTAAGTTTACTTTCTCTGGTCCGTTATTACCTTTATTCATGTCTAGTAGAATGGAAATATATGTTGTACTACCTTCCCAGGGTTTCCTAGTTAAGATAGTTAACTTCTGAGGAAAAAGGAGAGAGGAGGGGAAGTAGAGTGGTATCTTTGAAAATCTCTTCGGGGTGGCCCAATGGTTTGAGCTTGGGACTTTCATGTTGGAGGTCTCAAGTTCGAAACCCCTTGCCAGCGAAAGCAAGGGGTTTGCCTTCTGGGTCGAGCTCGTCGCACCAGGCTTGCCTAGTGCGGTTTACCTCTCCTATGTGGTTTGCGAGCTATTGCATAGGAGCGGGGGTTTTACCCTGTGCGCACCCAAAGGGTAGCGGCTGCGGGTTTCCCTTGTCATCAAAAAAAAAAGAGTGGTATCTTTGAAAAGACTTTGGGGAAAATGCTTTTCCAGACATTATACTGATTTGGTCTTTAGTGTTAGAAAATCTCAGATTGGTCATTGCTGGTGTTTTTGACAGATAAATTGCTTGTGTTCCAGAGTTTTGGGCAGCATGGGAGGGAGCTCATAACTACGGAGCTTGCGTTGCGGATTCTTTCCATTTTAAGTGAAGAGGAATTCTTATCCAGTGCATACCCACTTAATTTAAATAACACGCTTGATAGGCTTGTCATAAAGGTAACTCCTAGTCTATTTGGAACTCACAGTCAAATAAGGTGAAAATAATTCATATATAACCATAAATAGTTGAACAGGATCTATATTTACATTCATCCCCTCTTCAAATGTTTAGTTTCTCAGCTCTTTTAGTACCCTTCAAAAATATCCTGCAGAACTTCTTTTATTTTGAGGTTCTTCCATTGTCACCACCTGCTGATGTTGGTGTGATTTTGTTATCCCATCCTCCAATGTACTGAAGCAGTTTGTCTAGGAGATTCTCAATTAGCCATTTTCTGAAGATTTCCTTGCACAATACAAAGCATTTCTTTTTGGCAGAGACAGATTAACCTTTCACACAGCCCTCATAGAGAGAGCTTGTTGTCTCAAATTTTTGTCATTGATTTCTCTGTTTGTCAGACATCAGTAAACATCTTTCAAATTGTTTTCAAGCTGCAGGTTGTTCTTTATGTTAGGTAAATTCGTTTGAGTCTCTGTTTGCTTTTTAAATTTTCAGGTCCTGCTGGTATAGAAATTCAAAATTTGCCCAATTAATTAGTAATTACTGTATACCAAGGGCTGTAAATAGATAAAGAAACAAAGATCTTTATTACTTTAAAGAGTATTCAAATTCTCTTTTAAACTAATGTTACTTGGGAATGCTTTTTTATCCGTCTAATTAGATTGTTCCAATGGAGAATGTGAATGGGCGTAAACTTGTCGAAGCAGGGGATCTCTGTGAAAGAAGAAATGGTATAGCTATTTATCTTGCTAGTCTGATCACAGAAATTGACTCTATAGAGAAGTACCAAGAGAATTAATTCCAAACCTTTTTCTGGCAGGAAGAGGAGTTGATCTTAATCGGAATTGGAGTGTGGATTGGGGCAAGAAAGAGAAGGTTTGTTCTTTAGACTGCCATTAGTAGACGATTCATTGTGTTTCGATACTGTGTGTCTTCTTTACTGGTGTATGGACAGGCTGTGTTCCTTTCATTGTAGGTTGTTACTTAAGCATCTTGGTGGTGCTTAAGTGATATTTGCACTTAGTACCAAATTAGCATTGCCTTACTGGATTCTTGTGTATATGTTGTTTGTGTTTACTAGTTCAAGCTGATGCAGCTATGCGCTTATACAACTCTTTGTCCCTTTGATCTTTCCTTTTCAGGATTATGATCCATATGAAGAAAATCCCGGGTCTGCCCCTTTTAGTGAGCCCGAGACACAAATTATGCGGAAAATATGTGCATCATTTGAACCACATGTATGGGTTAACGTGCATTCTGGAATGGAGGCAAGTATACTTTTGTTAGTATGTCTTGCTGCTGTTTGTTTTTTGAACTTCTGTGCATATATAAACATACCATTTACAAGCTTTCCCCATGACTCATTTTAAAATTTAGGGCATAGAGGAGACCTTGTAACCTGTAGACCCTCCCAGACATTTTGCAAGGTGCAGCTCCTTTTAATAGATTATAGCTTGTGCCTGATCTCCCCATCTTGTTTAGGTAAAGTCATTAATTCAAACTACAATAAGATGATCAAATTTAACCATCTTTTCATTTGAAAATTTGTGAGTATCGACTTCCACAAATTAACTGGTCAAAGTGAACCAAATAGATGTATGTCAGGTGTAAATTGTCTTCTTCAAGTTTATGATGTTTTACTGTTTTTGGTATATAAAGAATCAAATTTCAGGATCACAGAAATTATCTTCTTCATCTCTTTTTAAAGAATAATAATTCTTTTTAGTTTCTTTGTGAATGAAAAACTTATTCTGTGCTGTTCATGTAATTGTTTTCAGGCTCTATTTATGCCATATGATCACAAGAACACGACTCCGGAAGGATTACCTTCCCAGAGAATGAGATTAATGCTTGAAAAGTTGAATCGTTTTCAACTGAATGATCGTTGCTTAGTTGGATCTGGCGGAGGCTCTGTCGGGTTGGTATCACTTACTCATGACTTTTATTTTATGTTTTAACTACTTGGCTTGAGAAAGGGGCATAAGTGTTTTCCTGTTAGATATATGCAATATGCTCGCCATTTATATAGCAGTGAATGTATTTTCTGTTACTGCTAAAACCAGATGTTAAGCCACTTATGGATAAAAGAATAATGATAAAGTCACATCACGATGTTGGCATGAAAAATGTGCATATCTGATGCCTTCCTCTCTTTGAAGTAGATATTAGGGTCACCACTTAATATCTAGCTTTAGATGTAAGTTTTCCTCACCTCAAGTATAACATTATGTCACTTATTCAGGTATCTAGCTCACGGGACAGCAACTGATTACATGTATGATATTGCAAGAGTGCCCATGTCTTTCACCTTCGAGGTTTGTCTTTGCATTTTATCAATTTATATACATTAAGTCCTTGCTCAATGTCAAGCATCTTTTTAGTGATAATTCAATGCCCCATATGTATACATGATGCGTGCATCTGTTGGTTGTCAGATCTATGGTGATAGCACGGCCTCGTCAAGGGACTGCTTTAAGATGTTCAATCCCACTGACATCACTACTTTTAATGTAAGTTATACCCTGTTCCATTTTATGTAACACTCTTTCCTTTTTAGTCTGTTCCCAAAAAGAATGATAGAAACAATTTAAACTTTAAATTTCACACTTTACCCTTAATAACATGAATTTGTAGCCATAAAATTCTTAAACTCCATACACAATCAAACACCTTCACACAAAATGCATGAAAGGAGTATTACATTTTGTAGATGATGCATTATCTTTGCCATGCGTCCTATCATGTCAAAACGATCAGCCATATTCACTTTGAATTGCAGAGAGTTCTCAACGACTGGTCTGCTACATTCTTTACACTGTTCAGTTTGGGTGGAGTCCAGATGAAGGAACTTCATCCAAATGCAACTGCATCCGGTTTTGAGAAGTGGGTTTCTATTGATGATTATCTGAACGGTTATTTAATGGAAAGGAAAAGTAGGTACGGGAAGAAAATGGAGGTGCTCGAGCTGGGAATGCAGGAGATTAGGACATACTTTAGATTGTTCTTGTTATCATCTGTACTTCTGATGTTTATGTTTTGTTCAAGAATCTCAAAGAGCGGCCGGCAAATTGTTTCTGCTATTTCCTTGTGATTCTGTGATGGTATTCTTTGCTGCCCTTGAGATTTAGCTAGACAATTTTGAGAGAGCTAGAAGGTGAAAAAAGGGCATGCCAAAATATTCTTTAGCTGTGTAATTTAGTACCTAATTTCTTTTTCCTTTGTTTCTCTATAGAATGCTAGAGCTTAGAAAGGCTCTTGTTGATGTTGAATTGTTAACATTGTTTGGTTGGGAGTGTGGATAGATAATATAGATTTTTGCCATGTCCTATGAGTTTTTTCTTGTTTCATCTTGAACCAAAGATGCCTTTTATGATCCAACTCGGGCGCGGACTCTTTACCTTCGGTGTTACACTCATGTCAATATGATGACGTGGATGTGGAATACATATCGGATATGACCATCAATTTTGGATATCTCGGTCAAAATCAATTGAGAAATTTGTGACATATAATGATTTATGATATCAAAACAAAAACTAAGGTGAAATTATACCGTCTGCAATCATTTAGGTCAACATCAATGTTGAATGTGCAATAAACTTAATTAGTCATGTTGTACAAAAAGAACACGTTATAAAAAAAGACAATATAGAAAAGGAAAGTATACTAAAAAAGAATGGGGAATAAGTATTTAATCATCGACTCTACTGAATATATTATCTATACATATTTAATTTTGTATAGCACAAAACTATTTTATTTACAAGCTTTCCTTCTTAGAAAATTAACCTTTTTTAATTTAATATAGGAGTACTAAACTGGCCCGACTTTTCGAAAAGTAAAGGGTGCATCTGTAGATTTGTTAAACTTTAGGGAAGGTATTTCTAACATCATAAAACTATATGGGAGGAAATAGTAATTTATCCAAAATACATACATATATATATATACCAAAACAATTTGGAATAAAAAATAAAAATCCTTAAACCCTACTGTACTGATTGCTGGCTTTTAGCTGATGGGCTGCTAGGGTTTATTGTTAGAAGAAAAATTGATTGCTGTTTGCTCAATCGTAGAGAAGATGGGAGGTGCTCGAGCTCAAGTAAACAAAGCTCACAAAACTCGATTTGCTTCAAAGTCATCTCGCAATGTTCATAAAGTTTCTTCAAAAGGTTCAATTTTTTTCCCTATTAATTGTGTTATTTTGCTTAATTTGGGTATTGATTGTCTTTTTGGTTTCGTTTAGACAAGAGTAGAATTGCGAAACCTGATCGCAATCTCACTAAGGGAGCTCGGGCAGCTCGGCTTCAGCGTAATAAGATGGTAAACTTTTGTTATCTTTTTTTTTTTTTTAGGTTAGCTGACTTTGAACTAGTTTGGGATTGGTATTTGGATTATAGAAGTTAGAAAAATTATTGCTTTCTGGGTTATTGAGTTATCGTGTAGTGTGGTATGTGGATAAGGTGGGATATCCCAGGATTGAGATTGGGATTAATCCTGGTTATGAAGTGGGATAAATTAGTCCAGTATTTGTGATCGCACGACTATAATCCCAGGATAATTTTGTCAGTGAACCAAACTACTCCTTATTGTTATATGCTAAAAAAATGCAATTTTGTAGATGAGGGAGCAGAAAAGAGATGCTCTTTTGAAAGAGAAAAGAGCTTCATCTGGATCAAATAGTCCGCCCAGAGTTATTGTAAGTATTGTTCTTTGTTTTTATTGTTTCTTTCTTCATTTTTGGATTCCTATCTAATGATCCCGGACGTAATCTTGGACGTGAAGAATAAAATAAGAAAGGTTTTTTCTTTGCTTGATTTTCAAATTTTCTTAGGATTTGGTCTATTTCCATACATTTAACTAAGAATAAGTACAAATAATTTCGAAATTTGAAAACAATAAATAAAAATCAAGTCATCAATGTAAAGATTTTTTTGTCTTGTTGAGTCAAAAAATTTAATTAGTAATCTTGATTTGGTGTTAAAACAGTTATCGTAAGTAATCTACTCCATGATCAACTGGAGTAAAGGAGAAGGAAGATATCTGTTATCACTTATCAGTGTTTTCTAACAATTTTTTATGTAACAGGTTCTGTTTGGTCTATCCAGATCAGTTGACCTTAGTGCGCTTGAACAAGATCTCCTGAAGCTATTGTCCGCAGATGGAACTGGTGTTGTGTATCCAGCAGTTGCTTCCTCAGAATATAAGTTGAGAGCAACGGTAGGAAGTACATTGTGGGAACTCCCTTTATCAATTAAGTACTATACTTGCATTCTTGAATTGGTCTCAGGTTCTAATTTTGGTGAAAGTATCATATTATGAGCAAACAGAAACAGAGGCTTTTGCATCTCTGCAAACATAGTTTTGTCAAGTACAATCAATAAATCAATAATGTTTAGAGGACTCATATGCCTTAACCTTGGTAATCAACTGACCTCAGACACTTAATCATCTTCAGGATGGTGGAGTAATATGTCCGATTTTTCTTTCAATAAGTAAAACACATCACTGAATAGTATTAAGAAGATTTTGAAATATGTACACAGTTCGAAAAGCACAATCTCAGTTTCTTTTCTAACCTATAATAGAACTTCAGCAAGATAGGGGAGTCATTTATGGGACTATAAACTTTAACAGTACATTATAGGATAGGAGGAGGTTTGACTGCACTTAAGAGGATGCTAGGGTTCAGGTATGTGTCTGCCATACCAAAATGCCAGAGAAAAAACATAATTACTCTTATGATTTTTTCATATCACAATTTTTTTGGTGTCAAATCTGATGCCAGAAGCAGCATACGATAAATTGTTTGTCAGTTATTGATAGTTGAGTAGTTTTCCTTGCTTTGACTTGTATGTTCTTCACAGAAAGTTCTGCAGAAGTTTAACAGTAAGTTATTTTGTCTAGGTTTTAAAAGCACCTCATGGTGATCTCTTGGCATGTATGGAGATGGCCAAGGTATGATAGATGCCCTGAAGTATTTCCAGGTTTTTGTTGCTCTTACGTTCTTTGTATCAAGGATGATTTAGTTAGAAGCTTTGGCATTTGCAGGTTGCTGATCTGATTGCTTTTGTCACATCTGCAAGTTCCTCTAATGAAGAAGATTGTTATATAGATGCATTTGGATCTCACTGCCTTTCGATATTTAGAGCTCTTGGTCTTCCTAGTACTGCAGTACTGATTCGTGTAAGAATTAAGGATACTTCTCTGAGAGAAAGTGCTTTTGTCATATTCTTGGGAATGGTTTGGTAAATAATTAAGGAGTTGACACTTGAATAAGTTTTCTTCTGTGTTTTAGGATCTACCCAGTGAGTTAAAAAAGAAAAATGATTCAAAGAAGGTGTGTACATCTAGCCTGTCTTCTGAATTTCCCGAGGATTGCAAGTTCTATCCAGCAGATACAAAGGATGATTTGCATAAGGTAATGATTTGGAGATTGTGTTTTATTGCTTACAACAGCTGCATGTTAGATGTCTTCTGATATATTTCTATCATAGTCTATTAACCTATGAAATCATTGTTTGTTCTTTTGGGTCATTTTTTTGTTGTTTGTAGTTTTTGTGGCTTTTTAAGGAGCAAAGGTTCTCAGTACCACATTGGCGTAATCAGCGGCCATATCTAATGGCTCAAAAGGTATTGACCACCTTCCATTTTCCCACTTCCTTGACATATTTTATCTCCTTTGAGGCTCCTGACTGGTAAAATTTTCTTTTAGCTTTTTTAGATGAAATATATTCACCCAGGAAAAAAAGGAGCAAAACCAATTATTCCCCAACGTTTACATCGTTAAATCAGTCTTGAATTTGGTCGTTATTTATGTATGTTAATCTTGAATGAATTTTCTCCAATATTGTTTGACTGTGAATGTTTCAAAGCAGTAGAGGGGATATATGTGATCCATATAGTTGACCCCAACTAATTTGAGATTGAAGTGTAGTTATTGGTTGGTATTTTATCTGTTTTCACAATTTCTTTTTAAAAGTTGTTATCCAATTCAACAATTTAGCACCTGCTTTCCTGAATTTCAGATAATGTGTATGCTGTCCCTCCTAATACATTTTTCTACAGAATATAACAGTGATTGCTTGTCTATTTTTTTTTAACCATTATGTGGAATTTTAGTTGTTTTGGTGACTCTTATGGAAGTAATGTATTTTGTATCGGTTCATTCATTATTCACAGTTAGGCAGACATTTCTTGACAATCTTCTGAATGGGCCTAAATAAAGCGGCATGGATACAACAGATTCATATAGCCAATTCTGACTAGTTTGGGATTGAGGCAGGGGCGTATCTAGAGGGGGTGCTGTGGGTTCACGTGAACCCATGCTCCCCTCTCTAGATCATATATAGTAGTGTTATATTTTTTTTAAAATATTTAAATATAGATGTGTGAACCACATTCAAAGTATCACATAGTAATACGATGATTATTGGGTGCACCTCTCTAATTGAGGATAGAAACTTAAATCTTTTATCATTCTTGTCTTTTTGAGTAACACCTCTCCAAGTGGTTATCGGTTACACTTTTGACATTTCAACTAATTTTTCTTTTGTTTTTTTCCTTTAATCTTTCAAAATTTTCAAGTGTGTTACATTGAAAATTCCTAAAATTTTAGCAATGTAAATTTTTTATAAAATTAAATCAAATGTGTCTTTTAAAATTTAAAACTAGTAGTATTATATATTTTGGACCTATAATTTTAAAAATTTAATGGTTCATATTAAGAACCTAAAAGTCAAATCGATCAAATTTATATTTAAGATACATTTTTCCATAATCGTGCACCCATCTTGTCGAAATCCTGGATACGCCTCTGGATTGAGGGGTAGTTGATTAATTGTAAGCCAGCATTTCTTCATGCCTAGGGCCCTAGACCATGATTTTGACTACCCAATAACTAAAATGTCTAGGCCATAATTTTGTGTACTCAACTTCAATTTCAATGCAGGTGACTCTGAATTTATTTTGTTCTCAACTATGGTTTTGGGCCTCTGTAATTCTGCAGATAAGGTTGTTAGTTTATGAGTCAGGATTAATTTCTTTCTTGGCGTTTTGTTTTTCAGGTCGACGTGGTAGCTGATAATTCCATTCCTGGAAAATGTACACTCCTCCTCTCTGGTTATATTCGTGCTCGTAGCCTGTCGGTGAATCAGCTGGTAATTGTTTTGCTTCAGCATATAGCTTTGAGATATTAATGAATTGTCCTTGACGGTAGATGCTCTTGGATCAGGTTCACATAACAGGTGCTGGAGATTTTCAGTTATCCAAGATCGAACTTCTCAAGGATCCATGTTCCCTGAATGTGAGAAAAGGAGGAGACTTAATGGAGTCTGACATGAATGAGGCACAGGTGCACTTATATTTTGTTTACGTAAAGAGAAACTCTTTGTGGTATTGCAGAAATTATTTGATAAAGATAAAATTTAAACTGTAAAATTGTGATTTCCAATTGAATCTACTCATGCTTGAATTTCTTTGGGTTTATTTCTTGTCTCACCATTCTTCCCTTTCTTTGGACCTAGAGGCAACATTTTGGCAGACGCCAAAATACAATTTATTAATGAACTTGATCAGCTTTGTCCTTCCACTGGTTAGCTATGCTCCTCGTAAAAGGCATTTTGCTCATGAAGTCCAACATTTCAAAGTTGTACATTGCAAATTGCATATTGAAATACATAGAGGTTCAAATGCTCAAGTTACCATAAGTGTAGTTATAAACTTGTACTAAAATAAAGGGATACCTATGACATTGTAGCTATGTGCTCCTCGTGCAGCTGTCATCTTTCTTCCCCCTTTTCTGGATGATGCATTTTTCAAAAAACCCAACCCCTCTCCTTGAGTGATGCAACATGATATGCAATCATCTATTCTCCCCTGGGCCTGCTGTAGTACATTGCATGGTTCCTTTAACAGAATACTTTTTGTTTTCCCTCTTCTCATCCCAGCTACGTCTTCTAATGTATTTCAGGTCATCAGTTGCTTGACTCCTGACCCTATGAAGCAAGAGCCTTTACTTGTTGAGAATGTCCCTGATCCATTGGCTGGGGAACAGGTATAACTCTGATCTTGGCACAATTTTATTGTTCATTCTATGAAAGCAGGAGTGGACAAAGTTCATATATGAAATGCACGTGTTATATCATTTTACCTTGTGCAATTCTTTTGTAACTACTGAACTTTTGGTTCATGATGAGATGCACTTGTTTCATAATTGTACCTACTTGTGCCATTCTTCTTTAAGCGTTTGTAATTTGTACAAATATTTGATGTCTATTTGGTCTTAATCAGACATGGCCTACTGAGGCCGAAATGGCTGAAGCAGAAAGAAATCAAGAGGAAAGAAAGCTGAAAAGGAAAACTCTTCCAAAGGGCACTTCTGAATATCAGGTTCATTTTCTGTCGATAGTTTCCCAAACATGTATGTATTTTTTATTGTAACCCGGGCATATTGGTTTATACCAGAACTAATTAGCTGATTTGCAGGCTGCTTGGATTGTAGAAGATTCAGATGCTGATGTTTCTGAGAGCGAGAATGAAGAAGATGATGGTATGGTGCTAGACGAAGGGGAAAATGCCTTTAATAGCCAAGGACGTAAGGATGAGTTTGAACTCGATGATGACCAGGCTTCTCTAGCACTCGTATCAGATGAAGAAACTGAGACTCATTCCATGATGATGGTGGGTGTACTTATTTATCAGCATAGACAGGACTATATGTTTTCATTTATGGCCTTGTAGCATTTTAGTAAGTAAAGCTGATAGAGTAATCCGGATGATGAAAAAAGGAAGAGAAAATACAGGTTATGTTACCTTCTAAAAAAAACAAAAAGAAAATACAGGTTGTTAACTAAATATCTCAAGGAGAACAGAATTGCAAAGAAGCTAATGGTGGTAATTTCCATGAATCATAAATATGTTACCTTTTCTTGGCGATCAAGCCTACCATTTTAACTTTAAGGGGTAGGCAGCCTCATGGTCTTTCTGTAGTTGCTTTTGAGGGGGCAACAAAATATGTAGAATTTACACAACAAAATGTGGATTGAAATATTTGTTTACAATTATTTTTTAGTCCGATGTATTTATTTCATCTTTTTATACATTGTTTACTGCGGTTGTACTCGTAGCTGATTTTGAATGCTAACTGTTTGGCTTATGAATATAAAAAGCATTTGGGCTCTCTGAGCAATATTAATATACATAAGCAGTTTAATCACAAATATCCCTCCCTAAGTGTGTTTTGTAAGTTGAATGCTGGATTGTGTATTGTGTAGGATGGTGAGAATCTGACTAGGGAGCAAATGGAAGAAGAGATGAGAAAAATTAAAGAAGCACATGCTGAGGATGAAGGTACTTATTTAAATTTCCGCTGCTTAGCAGCTTCCTACGTTTTTGTTTTTCTGAGAATTTTCTTTGAAGTCCTTGTTGCGGCTTTTTCCTACAGAATTCCCTGATGAAGTGGATACTCCATTGGATGTCCCTGCTAGGAAGCGTTTCGCCAAGTACAGAGGGCTCAAATCTTTCAGAACTTCCTCCTGGGACCCGAAAGTAACTTCTTCTGTTAACTCAATAATTTGTGTCTAGAAAAATATCTGGACGTGATCTAATTGCATTAAATCTTGGATGGGATTTGCAGGAATCTCTACCTCAAGAGTATGCTAGAATATTTGCATTTGACAATTTTAATAGGACTCAAAAGCATGTACTGTCTAGAGCCCGAGAGATGGAACAGAACATTGATGAATGTATACCAGCTGGTTCATATGCAAGGCTCCATATCCGGGAAGTTCCAATTGGTGTGGCAAACAAGTTAAATCTTGTAACGAAGACAATGCCTGTGACCCTGTGTGGTCTGATGCAGCATGAGTCTAAAATTTCTGTCCTTCACTTCAGGTACCTCGTCTTTGTTATATGCTTTTGTAATAATTCCCCCCTTATTTTCTTTCCCTAGTCGTTCTATGTGTAATTGTTTGAGGACTCAAGTAATTTTCTTTTTGCAGCTTAAAAAAGCATGACAGTTACACTGCTCCAATAAAAGCTAAAGAAGAGATGATATTCAATCTTGGCTTTCGCCAGTTTGTTGCAAGGTGCTTTTCATCCGTGTAATAAATTTTGTAGCCTTTTGCCAGGTCAAGTTACTAATGTTCATTGACTTCTTTCTGCCCCCTCCCCCCCTGATTGCAGGCCGATATTTTCTTCAGATAGTTTTAACGCTGATAAGCAAAAAATGGAGAGATTTCTCCATCCCGGGCGTTTTTCAGTAGCTTCAGTATATGCTCCTATTTCATTTCCTCCCCTTCCTTTAATTGCCCTGAAGATTAAAGACGATGCAACTCCTGCCACTGTTGCTGCCATTGGCTCTTTGAGAAGTATTGACCCAGATAGGGTTATTCTAAAGAAAATTATTTTAACCGGGTAAGATTCCTCTGACATTTTTAAGGGGGAGCTTGGATATTCTATTCCTTTGCTTTTGTGGGAGGGGTCTGATTTCTGAGACTGACAGCATAATGAAGTATCGCTACTTTAGGTTGGATTGATTGAATCAGCTTCTCTACCTATAACACTTGCTATAGTTGTGATTACATTTCTATTTTAGGTTTTTCACTGTTCTGTTGTTTCTCGGCTTTCATTTGTTTACAGCGGTAGAGATGTTTAGATGATTATTTCTGGAACTTTTTGTTCTGAACAACTTAGACTCTGTTTTTTTTCAAATTTGGTTTATAGACTGAACCTACTAAGTGCCACAATATAGACCCGTTATGCTTTTTTACTAGGCATAACATGACATTTAATCTGTGAACCAAAAAATCTTGTCAATTGTGTATTCGAGCTGGGATCCTGGAAAAGTTAAGTGGAGTATCATTCTAGTTATTCATACTTGCATGGTAGAGAACTTTTTCGAGGATCATATAATTTGCAATATTTTATTTTAGAATTTGAGGGTTTTGTTAGTCCTTAAAATGCAAAAACTGATTGTAGAGAGAGCTAGTAGGTTATATTGTTAAGTTAACCTTTTGTTCACAAGATATGTCATCTATGTTGCAGTTACCCTCAACGAGTATCAAAACAGAAAGCGACAGTAAGATACATGTTTCATAACCCAGAGGATGTCAGATGGTTCAAGGTATGCAAACAATTGACTTTTCTATTTTCTTCTTTGTCATGCTATTCACTTTTAACATATTTCCTGGACCTTTTGTAGCCTGTTGAAGTTTGGTCAAAGTGTGGTCGTCGTGGTCGCATCAAGGAACCTGTTGGTACACATGGTATGTCTGAAATTTGACTTGAAGTCTTCGAGCTATATGCAGAAATTGTCCATTCTTCTTCTAGCCAAACATCTCCCCTCCTCCCCTCATAAAGAGGAAATAAAGCTTGTCCAGATGTTAGAATTTTCCAGTGTTGTGCGCATTAGTGCGTGGTGTTATTTGATTAATCATGCATAAGGTTGTCATTTTCCCCTTATTATGTAGCCTGTGGCCAAGGAAGCCTATCGTGAGCATACATTTTCTCTGTTCACTATGCATATAATTTAAATCTACTAGAAAAACAAAAAGCTCTGCATGTTCTTGGGTTCTTTGAGCACTCGACTATCTACAGCTTGTAGGTCAGCAAGCATGATCATTTCATTGCCCTTCTACTATTTGTGGGTGCCCGAACATTTTGACCCTTTCTAGATGAATACCTGCCGTCGCATGCTCTACTAACTGGCACAAGTACAATTGTTTTTGAGTCTGTTGTAGGATGTATTATGTCTTTTCGATGTACCTTGTCATGTATTTAACTTGTACGTGTAGCAGCAGGCAATTTGCCTCATTTCCAGACTAATCCCACCTTTTGTAGACGGTTGCCTGTAGTAGTTATCTTTTAGCTGACTTGACAACGTAAATAATCTTGCATTGGTAGTGTATAAACGTTCAACTATTTTTGCGCAGGGGCAATGAAATGCATCTTGAATGGAGTTCTCCAACAGCATGACACGTTATGCATGAGTTTGTTTAAACGCACATACCCCAGGTGGCCGGAAAAGTGGTTCCCGATGACAGATGCTTAAGACAAAGGTCAAGTGGAGGCTGTGGTCTATGTTTTCTCCCCAAGTGTGAAGGGGGGAAGAAATCATATTTGCTGCACATGGGAATGAAGCTCTGGTTCAGAATGAGTTACTATTCAAGTTTTTTGTGGGGGGAAGTTTTTCACTTTGTTTCCTGTTCTTTCTCCCCAAAGGTTTCATCAGAAACCAGTTTATAGTGTATAATATATGGTAGCTCATTTTTTGGTGCCACAACACAATCTTGTATCACTTATATATTAGTTCCAAATCGCACACATGTTTTTTTTTTTTTTTTGAATCCTTATCAAGTTTTATACCATTTTTGATTATGCTATTTTACTGTATTTTCTCTATAGTTCATTCTTAGACACTGAGAAAAAGTATATGCATGGTGATATTCTAAATAGTTAAATTAATGGTGTGATTATTTAGCTTTGTCTATATTACAATTATAAAGTGAAGTCATAGTGAACAATTATTTATTTTCATTGCAATAGTAGACAATATCAAGGAAACAGATAATACCAAACATTGGATACTTTTTAAAGATAAAAACGTTGAAGTACAGTATGAACTCATACGCACAAGGACACATTACTGAAATCCAAAAATTGTCTTGAGTTTTTCCTTTGTTGGTTCTTTCAAAAGTTGTTAAATTGATAAGAATCAAAGATATTTAGAAAAAGTAAAGGGACATAAAAGAGAATTGGTAAAGTCTACATTCTTGATCTTATAATATTATGAAGTTTTAAACTTTAATTATTAGAAGGTTGAATACATTTTGAGATGATTCGAGTTTTGAAGAGGAGAGCAGATGTACTAGTGATGATGTGTGAGAGGTTGGCTATAACATGAAATAGAAGAGGTACACCGAAGAAGAGCTGGGGAAGACAATTAGACACGATACAACATAATTTCAGCTTACTAAGGACTACGACCGTAGATAAGAAAATATGAAGGTCGAGGATTAAGGTAAAAGGTTAGCAGGTAGCCGAAGTATTGTCGCATTTTATATGAAGAGGCAGGGGCTAGACTTATCTCCTCTCCTCCTTATTAATATTAGTATTTCGTGGTGTAGTTTATTCTCCGATTTGTACTATTGTCTAATGCTTTATTTGTGTTATGTCTTGCTATTTTGCTGTCATATTTTATCTTGCATTCGTGCTTCAATAAAAAAAAATTGTATAACAGATTTATCGTAAACAACTTCTTTACCTATAAAAGCCTGAGCTTATATTCTACTCTCGGAACATCACTTATGAGATTACCAGAATACACTTTGATTCTGTGGGCCGAAGCCCAATAATGTGAGCACAGAATGAAAAGCCCATTACTACTATTAACCGGGGTAGAAACCAGCTTCTATTCCGATTCGCAGAGAAAGCAAAAAACCAGAGTCGCCGGAAACACTGTCCTCGCCGGCGGGCCTAGCTGTACTCGCAGTGGTCGGACTGGGTAGAATTTCCGGACTAGCCGTTCTGGAAAATTTCTTCGTGCTGCTAATAGTATGAACTATTCGAACCGAAAATTTTAAGTTATTTCACAGGAAGCATTGAGAAGATGCCTAAACTTATGTAAGTACATTTCCTATATAATGTGAAACTCACTCAATTGATTGCACGTCTCTCGGATACATCACTTTTTTATATGTATTCTTACCAGATCGAAGGTTCGTGCCAGTTCGATAGTGCAGAGATTTTCAAAATTAACTGCTATTCGAAATGTAAGTAATGTCTTACTCAGAAGGAAAATTATGGCATAAAATTGATTTTTTTTCCGTTAAAGTTGATTTTTTTGCTTGAAAGTTAGTTTTGCTACAGTTTGTTGAATTAGATGAAGCACGGAATTCTGTTTAAGAGAGTTTTACTTTGTAGGGAGGAAAGGAAGTTGGAGACTACAGCCAAGCTATGAGAACTTTTACTACCTCAAATGGTATGAATCATCAACTTGTTAATATTTGTGTATGTGAATATCCATATTTATTTGGTACACGGGATTGGTGTATCTATGTAGACATGCAAAGAGGATATGTTTAGGAATCGCTATATTAGCTTGCATAACTAGTCTGCAAACTAAACTGTCCCTTAATACTGTAAGTTGTTTTTCTTATTAGATGTCGTACTTAAATGTTAATTTGGTTAGGTCAAATAGGAAATGAATATTGAGGAGGAAAGAGTTAATCTTTTGGTGTTTAGGGCATGTGGCGGAGCCGGTTTCAAGATCAGGGCAAAAACAAATTGTTGATGCACTTGTCTTGGGAGAGAGAAGAAGAGCTGTTAGTCTCCTGTATGAGTTTAGCCTTGGAAACAACAAATTGAGTGCTGATGATTTTGCTTCTATACTGCAAAGTTGTGCAAGACTGCCTGATCCATTAGTAAGTATTCAAACAGAAGTCCATTTTCTTTCTTTTCATATGACATGTAACTTTGTGCCAGAGAAAAGTTCTATGATGATCACATATTGCAAATTAATTGCCACTGATTGTTAAATGGTCAATCAACTATACCATAGTCCATATATATTAGATACTCAAAGAGTCATTGGCACATTCAGTGCCAACTAGTCTCGTACATTTACTAAGAACAAATGAGCTGACTTTCTGAAATGTCATTATTGCATGTATTTTTGTCTCCATCTGAATGATAACTTGAAGTTTGGCGTTCTTCTTCTTTTTCCCCGGATGTAGTTTGTGATGGAGACTTGGAAGATCATGGAGGAGAAGGAAATCAACATTAGTGACAAGTGCTATTCTCTTGCCGTACGAGCACTCTGTAAAGGGGGTTACTTAAAGGAGGTATTAGAATCCTGGTTTGATTTCCAGATTAGAATAGAGTGGCAGCTAGAAGAACTTATAGAATAACTGTTAAATTTCAAGTCTCAATGATATTCTTTTTACTTGTCAGAAAGATGAATGTTCATGAGTTGCCAAACCTTTGATTGGACAACTAACATCTATGTGCTTGATGTTAATACTAAAACAAGAGGATATTGTTATTTGTTGCAAGGTATAGTTGACTTATCACATGGTTGGTTAGGTGACTTCTTGTTGATTTTTTTGGAAGTCCAAAACACATCCTGTCGAATGATTAACTACCCATTGTACTACTTGCATCATTATTGAGAAACAATAATTGCCTTTTCCTTGTCGTCTGTCATTTAATGTTTTTCTTTCTTTATTTTCATTCAGGCGCTCAGTTTGATGAGTATCATGGGAGAAAACACAAATTGTTATTCTATGTTGCCTATTTATAACAACTTCCTAGCTGCTTGTTATGAAACACAAACAGTAGATTATGCTAATGAATGTATGGATTTGATGGAGCATCAGATGGTGGGAAAGAATGAGATAACATATGCTCAGCTTCTCAAGGTGTGTCTAGAGATCTTTGAACAGAAATGTTATCATCTTGTAGTTAAAGTTTAAATGCTTAATTTTTCTTCAGTTGTCGTTCTTATTATATTCCCAAGAACAATTTTTGGTGATTTCATGCTAATTCTGGTGATAGCACTGATCATCATTCTGGTGATTTGCTGCTTCTTTTCTACCTGTAACACCTAAAAACCATAGAACTTTAGGTAACAAATTTTGTTTATATTAACCAGTCCCTGTTAAAGAAATCTATTAATCCAATTCTCCACCTATGTAGTCACAGGTAGATCAACAATCCATGCTGTGATGTAAAACCAAGTATTCACGGTTAGTTAAAAGGTGGCACTTCCAGTAGGTTTCATTCCTCCAAGTGATTTTCTGCTGTCTAACAGAAATATAATGTGATAGCTGGTTGTGAAGCCTGAAATTATATGATATGCAGTATAGTTGCTTCTTGTTTAGCATTGGTTGGTTAACTTAAAACCTTCTCCTGCAATTATTGTTTGGATAATATTACTTTACTTTCTGGTATATTGCCTTCACTAATTCTTAGGATCTATTTTCTGTTAAATGTTATATCTTGTTCTTGAGAAGTGCATTGGAGACCATTTTTCTATTGTCTCAACAAAAAGTGAAATGAGAACTTATGCAATCAGACTTTTCCTCCACCAGGGGATAAGGCAAATAAACTATTTACCTCCTTTAATCAGCTCCCCCCGCTTCATTCCTAACCAAATTAGCTAGTACGCACTATTCAATCAATTATTTTTGTTTCATTTTGTGCTAAATATGTTTTCAAATGTTGAATATTGTTCTGAAGACAGCAGTTTAATGGTTTGTCCGGCTAAATGCTGTTCTAAGCTCATTGTTTCAGCTTGCAGTTTTGCAGCAAAACCTGTCTGCTGTCCATGAAATCTGGAAGGAATGTAGTAAATTTTACAGTCTCAGTCTTCTCTCTCTGAGGAAGTTTATATGGTCCTTCACGGAGCTGAGAGATCTGACTTCAGCCCACACAGCCTTACAGCACATGGTGAGATTGGCTTTTAGGGAAAACTCTTACATTAGTAGAACTGCTGAGGGAAGGTTTTGTGATTTAAGATTGGATATTCCAGCACCTTCCTCTGGCAATTGGAGTTCCATCGATGTATCTCTCGACACCGTGGGTAGCAGCAATTTTGATATGGAAAGACAAAGTCTTGGCAGTATGGAAACCAACACAGCAAGAAAAACATTAAGTGCATCTGTTATGAAGCTTTTGAGGTGGTCCTTCAATGATGTTATGCATGCTTGTGCACAAGTTCAAAATTGTGATTTGGCTGAACAGTTGATGTTACAGGTATTACTACAATATCCAGTTGCTATGATGTCTCCATCTGGTTAATGTTAGAAATTTTATGCAGGATCGGAAGGACATCCTTAGATCCATATGGCTAGGCACATATCATTGTTTAACATAAAAATATGCCAATAGCAATTGTCTCAATTTCATAAGGGAATTTCCTGTCTGTTTGTCACTAAGCTATCTCTTTTCTTTAGATGCAAACTCTTGGTTTGCAACCATCAGGGAGTACATACGATGGCTTCATTAGGGCAATTGCTACCACAAGAGGCTTTAGTGATGGAGTGGAAGTGGTAAAATATTCTTAGTTTCTTGGGACCTTTTTTTTCTTCCAAGAGTAGTACTTGCTTTTGGATTTCTCACTTTCACATTATGTAATTTGTGTAATTTTGCAGCTAAAGGTTATGCAAGAGAAAAATATTAAGCCTCATGATTCAACTCTTGCTGTTTTAGCAGTCATGTGCGGCAGAGAGTTGGAACTCAATCTGGCAGAGGCTTTCTTGGATGAGATGTCCAAAATCCATAATCCTCATCCTTATAATGCTTTCCTTGAAGCATGTGATGTTCTGGTAAGACAGTACGTAACTATTTTGAAGGAAACAATATAATTGAAAACATGTGATCATCACTGGTCCCATACTTAGATCAGTACAATAAGAATTGGCGAGGGTTTAACTGTCAGTTATGTAGGTTTCCTGGATGGTTCAATAAGCCAATCAGCTCGTCCAAATTTTTCTTTTTTTCTTGCAAGTCAAAACTATCCTTCTAAGCATATTCTTGCTTCTTTAGATCTTGATATTACCGCCATATATCTTGCTCTCTCATGAGTAATGTTGTAAGGAATATGAGATTTTTGAGCTAGCTCTCATCAAAAGAGTTTTACGAGTTAAGCTAAAAAGTTGCAACTACCCTCCGACTTAATCATTTTAGGATTCAAATATGGATAACACCCTCTTGTTGTAACTAGGCCAAGATATATTGCTATATTATCATTTAACTTCTGCAATATTCATCATCGTTGTTTTTGCAGCGTCTCTCGATAGAATTGCACATTTTGTCAATTGTATTAGACTGATGTGTCCAGTTTGTGATTCTTGTACAAATTAATATTGTAGGATCGGCCTGAACGAGCAGTCCAGATATTGGCTAAGATGAAAAGGTTGAATCTTCAGCCAAATATCAGGACATATGAGTTGCTATTCTCACTGTTTGGTAATGTGAATGCACCTTATGAAGAGGGCAACATGCTGTCACAAGTGGATGTTGCTAAAAGGATAAATACTATAGAAACGGACATGATGAAGAATGGCATTCAGCACAGTCATTTGTCGTTGAGGAATGTGGTAATGACTTCTCAACTAAGACAAATTTAGATATCGATTTATTTGACTACTATTTTACTTCCTAAGCGAAGTAGAGATGATGATCAGCCCAATATCTGCACCACTAATTGAATGTGTGATGTCTTTAGAAAGATGGTCATTTAAGAATCTTTTAGTTAACTTTGATGGTGAAATCTTTACAATGATTAAAAGAGATACTAACGAATGTATCATTTTTGGTGATGGTGCATAACTTTACGTATTCATCCTACCTTTGTGATTCCTAAGTTCATAAACAGGCTGCAACTGGACATTGCCTTTATTAACATGAGGACACTAGCAGATATTTCTCTGTATGTATTAAAATGATCCACAGCATACTTGTGAACTTCACTCCATATGACTTGAAGTCTTCCTGGTATATCAAACAAGTTGTTTCATGGTTAACCTGTCTGGAAGTGTTGAATGTTGTAAGTAGTTTCATGACTTGTCTGTCTGGAAGTGTTGAATGTTGTAAGTCGTTTCTTGGTTTATCTGTCTGGAATGTTGTAGTCTTTCTTATGCATGCTTCGTGACTCTTATTGGTGGAGGCTACTATTGAGGAAGCAACAAGAGAAAAATGAACTTCTGCCTCCATCATGAACCAGGTTTTGGATGTATATTTCCTTACAGATAGCATATTGGACAGGAGCAACTACTCCTGGTTGCTGTTATGTACACCCTTTGAATTATCATAGCAAAATAATTTGCAAGGAAAGATACACTTTGGGTCTCTTTGCTAAAACAAATGTTGTCTGATGACTAAATTTAGTATGGTCTGAGACTCTGAGTCACCGAAGTTTAAATATTGGAGATGTAATAGTTTATTCAAGCTAATGTCTACTATGCTAATAGCTTTTTATTTTTATGGCATTCTCAAATATTGTACATGTTTGTGTTTAAATATCTTTTCGATATGGTAAGCCTCACCCTCCTCCAAATCCATCTACACAGGAGACTAACAGTGTTTTTTTCACACTTTGCTCTCTTGGTGACTAGAAACCCCTCAACCTCATGGTTAAGATGGAAGACCCTTACCACTAGGCTATCCGACTTTCCACCATTTAGAAATTAGTTTATCATTTATTGAAACATGTGATGTAACATCTTAATATTTCACCATTTTCAGATTCAGTAATAAGTAAATGTCTTCTCACTTAAGATTTGTAAAGCATTTTAAGTGCCACTTAATGTTTGAAGTAGTTTCTCTTTCCCTTATCAACACATCTAATGTCTGAAATTCAGTTTAAATCCCGAAGTGTTTCATCAATCAGCTCCTTAGGTTGCAATTCTTTTTTCTTTTACTGCAGATTCTCTACAATTTTGTGTCCCAATAGTTAAGTGGCCTTAAGGGCCAGTTATAATATCGATGCAATGCTTCAGTATAATATCCATGTCTTTTACTCTTCTTTCTTTTCCAGTTGAAAGCGCTTGGAACAGAAGGGATGGTAAAGGAGCTGATTCAATATTTACGTGCTGCAGAGAATCGGTTTTCTCGTTACGACACTTATATGATAACACCTGTCTATAATACAGTTTTACACTCCCTTGTTGAGGCTAAAGAGGTAATCAACCTAGGGTTCTACTATATAAGATCCATTTCATAGTTATATTGTCTTCTGTCTGAGTTTATTTTTTTCTTTTCAGAGTCGAATGGCAACACAGATATTCAAGTCAATGGTGTCTTCTGGAGTTCCACCTGATGCTGCAACGTATAATATCATGATTGATGGGTGTAGCATTGTTGGATGTTTCAGATCTGCACTTGCCCTGATCTCTATGATGTTCCGCAGTGGTTTCAATCCTCAAGCAGTGACTTTAACTGGCCTGTTAAAGGTATTCGTCTAGCCTTGTTTAGCTATTCTCACTAATCTGTGGAAGCTGGATCATTAGAAAAATAAAAAGTTAACTTGCACAAACTTAAGCCTAACCAAGCCTTCTTTATTTGGTTAAAAGGGCTTTTCATGAAGTTGACAGTATGTCTTTTCTATCACCTATTCTGCTAACTTATAACCATTTAGAAACTTTGCCAAGAAAATCAGTCAAATGATTTACTAAACCTTGAAACCCAAAATCACCACAACTAGTTGTGCTGCAACAGTTTGGTTTGGATGATACTTCATTGAGCTGGAAGGGGCTTTCTTTGGATGAAAATATTGTCCATTGGTTGGGTTTAGAATGCCTTGCCACAACTATCACTTATATTACCTTCAGTGGTACCGTGGATTTTAACTGTTGGTGAATAAAAAGTGTTGTCTTTCTTCAGGTGAATGTACTACAAGAACTGATAGATGGCTTATCCTAATTTCATGGAAGCGTAGTTATTGTTCACCAATTTATCCTCCCCACCCCTCTCCTCTATGACTATATAGATATGCAAATGGTACCCACAGATGTTCCAACTGAAACTGAGTTTTTTTCTGCTTAGATATTGTTGAGATCTGAGGACTTTGATGGAGCATTAGAATTGTTGAATCAAGGTATTTCAGAAGGGATCCAGCTTGATGTACTTCTATATAACACCATTTTTCAAGTGGCAGCTGAGAAGGTAATTAACAAATAATTCAACCATCAAGGTATTGTAACATTATTAACAAAATTTTGCTAGAACAAAAAATGTAACGGAATAACTATGAGCTAAACTGTGGAGAAGACAGAAGAATTGACGTATTTCCTAGTCAATATTCTCAAAATGGAAGTCGATGTTTGCCGACTTTAGAATGGGAAACACTGATTAAAACTCTCAAAGTTCATGATTAAATTAGCAAAAAGACCCTTGGCTTTTGTTTGCATTTTTTTTATAACCGAGAAATCCGTCTGTGACCCTCCCTTTGGACCAATCACAGCCTTCTAAACTCGGTGGATAATGGGCCCGCCCCTCTACCCTTCTCCACTTAAATACCAGGCTTCACTTTGCATGGTGTGGGGCTTGAACAACTTTTGTTTGCATTTGCTTCCCTTTTTGCTGATAATTTCTGTTAGATCTTCCAGAAGAGTGCTGGACACTTTCTAAGAAATGTTAATCATAGATGGCAATGGGAAGGAGGATTCTGGGGAGTTGGGGGTGGGGGGAGGGGGAGAAGAAACTTGCTTGACGGTTAGCGGGAGTGGAAAAGAATGTTAGGTTTACTGGAAATCCTCATAGAGGAGTTAGCTTAAACTTTTAAAGAGTTGGCAGTGGGGAACCTGAAGTACTAAATGATACAAAAGCCCACTTTACCCTGTTATGCAGTTTCAACTGTAGGGTACTAGAAAAGTGGACAACTTCTTGAATAACCCAAAGAGGAAAAACGGAGAATTGTGTGAACCCATCCACTTCTCAAGTTAAATGAAAAAGTAAAGCTGTATTGATTACCTTTTAGTGCTTGAAGAAATCAGTACTCTTTCTAACTAGGTCATGAAATTGTTTTTTCCAGGGAAGAATAGATGTCATCGAGCTCATTGTGGAGCATATGCACCTCCAAGGAGTTCTGCCAGACCCATCAACTTGCAGTCATGTTTTCGCTGCATATGTAGACCATGGATTCTATAACACTGCTATGGAAGCTTTGCAAGTTTTGAGTGTGCGAATGATTGCTGGGGTTGACAAAGATACAGATGAAAAACGAACTGAACTTGAAAATCTAATTCTTGGTGAAGACTCGGAAGATGAGCCCCAGATTCTTGAGACTTTTAAAGACTCAAAAGAATATCTTACTGTTGCCTTACTGCAACTAAGATGGTGTGCCATACTTGGATATCCAGTATCTTGGTCACCTTCGGACAGTCAATGGGCTAGGAGACTTTCAAGTAATCTTGCTTCAACAAACGGTCTTCTATGAAGGTTTCATGGTTCCACATAGGTGGGCTCTTTTGATCTCGCAAATCACCTGGTATGTCAATTATCAGTTCTGATACGCTAACTCGTGATATATTAATGATCGGAATGGGTTAATGAGGAAGCATATGGTCCTCATTTCAATACCAGGTGTGTCATAGGGAGTCAAGTCAGAATCTTCCCAAGTATGAAATCCTGGCAATTTTGCAGGTTATGCCTTGCTGATTGTACAGCAATAGCAGCTAAAGGTTTCAGCAGAAAAAATAGTGAGAAAATTCTGATTGCAAAATAATCTAGTTTTAGTAGGATCTGACTGATCCATTCATTTTGTTGTACCAACAGGTAGTGTACATTATTGTTGAACAGCCAATAATGCCTCATTGTAGTTGCTTGCCAAAAAATGATAAGTCTTTTTATGCCAAAATGTATTAATTATTTGTCAGTTCCACATTTGCTCATATGAATTAGTTACTCAAAGAAGATACAAGGGTGTAATTCAAAGTGTGCGAACAACAACATACTCAATGTAATTCCATAAGTGGGATCTAATGAAAGTAGTGTGCACGCAAACCTTACTCCTACTAGGTAGAGACTCTTGTCTAAAATATACTTCATAGTTGATTTAAATGTCTCCTACAGTTGACACTTTACTGAAGTTGAAGGGTGACACAAGATCCGGCCTTTCGATTTCAACTCCCCAAGTAAAAGGTCTAAACGCCTTGATCAGAAGTTGAAAACTAAATCAAATCTGAAATGTGAAATGATATTGGAGATCTAAGCCACAAAATTTCTCTTTCCCGTAAACAGAGAGGTACATTTTAGAGGGCAAGGAATCAAATTAACTCACATAAGTTACATTGTGCATCGATTTATAGTACAGTTCCTTTGTATGAGCGTTTTAATGATGCTCCCAACCCGAGAATAATAGGGGGAGCGGGGCTGGGAGTGAGTGAAGAAAATGCACTAAAACCAATTTCCACTGTTGTCCTCCCAGATAGTCGTACAAACTTGATAAAATTTTACCATTGACCATGTAAAGCTCATGAAAAATGTATGTTGCTTCAACTTTTTTATGCTTGCTATAGATACACTTTCCAGAGGTGCTTAAATATTATCACCAGGAGGCAGCTCAGCCAGCTTTGGAGAAGTGCCTAGCACCCGTTCCATATCAAAGCGAACTTCAATATTCCGTATGCTATAACCAACCACCATGAGCCAATAAAGCAGTTTGGCAAGTTCTGGGGCACTTGTCTCTGTTACACTAGTCTGCATTCCATATGAAAGAAAAAGATGAGCATACAACAAACTGTTATTTCTACATTTGCACACACTTAGGTTTTGCAGGCTTTGCTATCTAATTATTAGAAACATAATTAATACGTTTGTCTTACTTCACAAAGCTTTAAAGAGAATCTTTGTTAATTAGGTTTTGACACTTCTTTGTAGGATCCCATGATTTATAAGTCTCAATAGTTGATAACTAATCTGCTTTGGTCAAAATAGGCACAAGGGGAGAGAAGTTTTGAACACACCCTTCATAATAGAAGATCTGAGGACACACAAGTTAATCATATTGATTGAAGTGAAAACTAAATATTTATGTTTGATAAGGGTGATATTTCAACATCCTTTACATGTACACAAGCCATGCGTGCCTGAAAGATTTTAGAATCTTAACAGAAATGAATCATGACATGACCAGTGTAACTGATATTTCTTTTATAAAAGTGAAAGAAGCAGTATCACAAATACATACACCATTTAATAAGTTCCTATAAAAATGTTATACCTTCATTTGACTAGGATCTGAAACAGCTAAGAGACGCTTAATGAAAGAATTCATGGCGAGCACTACATCTTCTCCAGCTGTACTGGTTAGCTCCTGCAAAATCTCAGTATAGAATAAAAATGAATAACCTTCTCCATTAAGAATTAACAATTTATATAAATAAATAAGCACACACTCAATTACTAGGTTGTATCTTGTCTGTCCATGCAGTAAAAGATTTGTGAAATAGGTATTCCTTGTCTATAGTAGTCATGTAAAATCAGAATAACCAATTCAAAAAGAAACACCATTTAAGCAATAACTACTTACGCTAAAGCATCGTGGAATTTACAAATACCCTCCCACCTACATTAAATCATCCTAGAATGTTCAAATACCCTCCCCCAATTCAAGTAGCAAGCATGCTGACCTTGATATTTTGAGGCTCAAGAGTCTTTAGATATTCCAACAGCTCATTATAACCATTACCAGATTTCCTTTCCATTTGACGATTCAATTCCTCCACTTCTGCTTCAAGTAACTCGATATACCTCAACGCGTCTATTTTTTCAGGACCTGTAACATTATTCCACCTTATGACTTCTCCGGTCACCTTTTTCTGGGTACCAGATGCATAATCTGGTGAATCCTGAACAGTCAAAAGAGTGATAGTTACTCGTCAGAAATATTAACTTTGTGAGAACAGGGATTCAAGTAGAAGTTCTAACAATGGCAGAATGAGCTTCACATATCAAGCAAAGGGTACGTATCTTCAGATGAACCAAAACTAAAAAGAGGGGAAGAAAAGAAAGCAGTATGATTGTCTTCTTAAAAATAGGGATTTGTGCAATCGATACTTGAAGAAAAACATGATAGCAATTGTAAGAAGTCATGAATGTAAAATCACCAATAAGACCAAGATCTCATTGAAAACAAGTCGATAGTATGATATAATAATGCCCAGGAACTATAGCTTCAACAGCATTTGTTTTAAGCAACTCTGCAAGTAGCAACCACTCTCTGAAGGATTTAAAGGTCCCGAAAATAAGGTGAAAGACTGAAAGGGAAGCCTGGTTAAAGGACATGAGAAGAGTGGAAGTTGATTCTAAAACATATTCAATACCCAAAAAATTATTTCTTGACTTGATTGGTTTGAATTTAGAACAAAATAAAAAAGGAACAAGGATTGTAACACTCTATCTTCTATCAGCATAAAGGAAAAAAAGAGATAAATACAATAAATAAGCAAAACATAGATGCAGGGACAAACTGAAAGCCTCTTATGAATAGGTTTGAAAGCGAAAAAGCTAATAACCTTTTCCCTGTAATTCAGTCACAATTCTATTAGTGAAATTGTGATCTTTAAACTCAAAAGAATTTGCTTTTCCAAAACTTTTATGGAAAAGAAAGAGAGAAACCAGAAATAGTTTTACGAACAGATTGATATCATTTACCCTTCCATCTCTTGCATTAGACACAGCAAGTTGCCTACCTAAACTAAGACAATGGATGATCTGTAGAGAGAAATGTCTTTAAACATTCATTTGCCTGTTTTGTCTTTTTACAATTTAGTGTTAAATGTCTTTTATCCTCCAAGTGATGCTAAGAAGTTTCTACTCGATGAAAAGGCACGAGCAACTCCAAAACAACCAAGGCAGGTTGACTATAACTATCTAAACTGAAAATGATACATAAATTGGCGTAAAAAGAGTAATTCATCTAGTCCCAGAAAATGACAACAAAATCAATTAGTAGGAAATAGCACACAATAGAAAGAACTTACCTTTTCTTCCTGTGCTTCAGGAAGGGCAGCCTGTTCCAGACTTTGTTGCAATTCTAACCGAAATTGAGCATTCCTAAACATATATCCAGTCATCAACACACTATACATAAGCTGAGCAAGATTTTCAGCGACCTAAGCGAAAGTCAACATCACCCAAAATCATCATCAGCTCCAGTGATGACATATACGTCCTTATTCAAAGAATGTCTCATCTCATATATCACAGCTTGCAAGCATTGAGATCATAGCCACTTACCGTGGTTACAGTAATGGCAAAAAATTGTGGAGGTAATGTTCCAATCATATTTGTCACTGTTTGGCGCATTGCCTCAACTACCTACCACAGATATAAATGATCAGGATATGCTTACATTAGTACCTTGAATTTCAAAGGAATTTCAAGTTGTCTAAGCTGTTTCAGTTACATGCACTAAGCAACAAAAAGAACAACTATGCTTCAATCTCAAATTAGTCAAGTTCCTCTACAACCATTCCGCTCTATTTGCGCCAATTGTGTCTGCTTTATCAAGCAAAAAAATACCCAAAAAAACACAAACTTCTTCGAAGTACGAAACTTGATTGCTAATACCTGTTGTGGTGCTTTTTTCACAAACAACTCCATGAATTCCGGTTGTACATTTTGCACATAATCCAGTAGAATTTCCCTTCTGCTTTTGTGCTGCAATAACATTTACTAAAATTGAAATCTTTCTACCTGCTCTCCAGTACTTTGTCACAATATTGAACTAACATTTCAAAATTTTATATTAACGGTAGATGAAGTACAACAATACAAACACTGAAAAAACTGAGTACCATAGAGCCATTTGGAGGTTTGGTATCATTTTCGTTGTTATTTTGCGGTGAATCCATAGATTGAGCTCTCAAAGTGAATTTTTGTTTGCGAAATGTTTTCTTCTGAAAGCTAATCAGAGAACAAAGCCGTCGACTTCCGGCAGATGACGAAGACGAAGAACCATATGACTGTAACAGAAACGTTGGTTTCAACGTCAGCGAGGACATTATCAATTGTTTCTTTTGGATTATTTTACGTGAATTTTGTTCTCTTCCTCGCTAAAACCCTATTATCTCCATTAACGATAACACACGAAAAGCTTATTGGAAGGAGAAATGAATGGAAGCGTCACTGTGAGTCAGTGAGTGATGATTCTGGGCCTTTCGGGTCCTCCAGGTAGTCTTCTGAGTTATGCTGGGCCCAACAATCAGATCCACTAGAAATGTGAGACTTTGGGCTTTTAATCCATTCTGGAAAAAAATTCAAGAGCTGGTCCAAGAAGTCGTTTGGTACGCAGGATGAGATAAATATGAGATAATAATTCCATCATTTTAGTATAAATGGTGGGATATAATCTCGGGATTATCTAATACTTAAAATAAAGTATTGGGATTATTGTCATTGTCCCATGTAACAAACGACTCTTCTTTAAGGGGTTGTTTAGTACACAGAATGAAATAAGCAAGGATATCGAAACTTTTTGAATTTGAAATTATTTTATCTTATCTTTGATAGGAATAACTTATTCACAAAAAAAATAAAATTCATAGAGTATCTTAGAATTATTATTTTTATATTACCAACAAAACTATCCTTGAGAATGTTTGTTATGAAAGAAAATGTATTCATAGAAAATAAATGGTTTGATCCATATTCAAAGCTTTGAAATGCAATTTCTAGCCAAAATCTCTCTTTGTTGTGTCTCTTAATTTGTTTGACCAAATTTCTTGAATGGTACTACTATATATTTGATTGTTTCTTTGTATGGAATCAAGGTATTTTAGCTATAGAAAATTAATTTTGAGTAGAAAAGAAACAAAAAAAAAAAATCTTTCATCTTTGAATAGAAAATTAGGTGAAATATTACATAATTGAAATTCT